TATTAACTACCGAAGGTTGCACAAAACCTTAAATTGATCAAGGTTTGACATCAAAAACAGTAGGATGCCGGCTCAGTGAACCAGAGCTAAAGCATTCGCGAGCATGGACGAATGTCCTAGGCATGATTCCTGGGAGTATGGGTCATAGCTGAGCTACTGCTGATGAGTCGTCACACACTAAGATAAAACAGCCGTCTAATGCTAGGTAGACTAACAATGATATATTCACGATTCCTTCGGAAAACAGCAATCTTCATAATTCTATAATCAATAAATAATTTTGTACTTTTATAAAAACAGACTGAGATATTTATAGTTTTCATTACAGACTGACTTTACTTAGTTAAACAGCTATCCATAGAAATCTCTCTGACCTTAGTATGTTGTAGCGTGTTGTATTCATGACTCATTGAAAAAAAACTAAAACTGGGACTTTACAAGTTCCATTTTAATTAAAAATGTTTGGATAGGATGATTCACACAGTGAATATGCAACAGATACACTCAATGTTTGCACGGTATACATTCTTACTGACATTATCTTCAGTGAACACGGATAGGTGTTGCTGTATTATATTGAAATTACGAAAATATTGTAACAATAATTTTAAAAAGAAAATTTTTTTAAAAACAACTATGCGATTTTTACAACTTTTAGTGTTTAATAAACTAGAGATTAGTTGAATTTAAAAAAATCTATCGTCAACAATAACAAACAATGTCAAATGTATGCAACACCTTTTTGATACAAGGTTAGTAAACTTTCTAATAGTTTCAAATCAGTAATTCCAATCTGAAAATCATAATAGATGCAATACAGAAACTAATCTCAGGATGAAACGGCCGTCCAGTGCTTCCAGGTTTCTAATGGTGGTCTAACATTGATCGATTCATGGTTTCAAAAATGTGTAACTTAACAATCTTCACAACCCCTGTAATGAAAATTACCTGTGCTCACTAGTGACTAGCTTCGTGAGGAATCTTCTCCGAGTTCTAGTGGGAAGACGTGACCAGTGAAGTTCAACCTGTTCGGGTGTAGGCAGTGTCTACCGAAGACTGTGTATGAGGTTGCGCAACTCCGTGAATTTGATCAAGTTAGACATTAACACTGTTAGATACCGGCTCAGTGGTCTAACGGTTAGGGCGTTCGCGCACAATACCGAAGGTCCTAGGTTCGAATCCTGCGGGATGCAGGAGTCGTGGATGCGCACTGCTGAGGAGTCTCATACCAGGACGAAACGGCCGTCCAGTGCTTCCAGGTTTCTAATGGTGGTCTAACATTGATCGATTCATGGTTTCAAAAATGTGTAACTTACCAATCTTCACAACCCCTGTAATGATAATCTCAGTAAGTTCAGAGCATCTAGATGCTCAATAAAAATGTTGTGGTGAATACTACTTGTAATATGGCTTAAAGGTAGCATGTACCAGGGTGTCGACTAGAATCGACTACCGGAGAGAAGAGTTATCCCATTTGAATGTATAAGATAATCAGTGTTTTGTTTACTAAAGGATATGTAGAAGAAAACAGCCAATAATCTGCTTGTTTTGAAAAAAGAATTCTGAGGGTAAGCTGTAAACATTTTACACCTAGAAATCGTGAATCAATCATTTTCAGACCACCATTAGATACCTAGAAGACCTAAGCGGCCGTTTTGTCCTGGTATGGGACTCATCAGCAGTGCGCATCCACAACTCCTGCACCTTGCAGGATAGGTACCGAGGACCTTCGGTCTTCGGCGCGAACGCCTAACTTCAGAACCACACTGAGGCGGCCATCCAACGGTGTTAATGTCTAATTCTGATCAATCTATGGACACATTTTGTAGGTAAACTTTGTCTTCGTTAAGCCAGTCAGTCAGTTGCAACGTAGAACTTCGTACGTAAGTACATCAGTTGACGTCGTAATACCACATTAGCAAAGAGACGCAGTTGTCAATTCAAATCCCATAGTGTTAGAGATAGTAGAAGAATTACTGATAATGGAGAAGATTAGGAAGCGAAGATATAATTCGAGAAGTATAATTCAAAGAGATAAATTTGGAAAGACAAAGGCAGAGGTGTTGATGATAGCAGAAGATTAGGATTTGAGAGGACACAAAGAGTGGATGCACCTGCGCCACAGTAAACGGTTTTGAGCCATGTCATTCAAGGTTTCTAACCATCAGTGACTTTCGTCTCAGGGACCCCAACCAAGTAGCCTACATCTACCAACATGACTCAGTCCACTTGTCAGCGACTTCATGGATTTCTGCCATGTTTTGGTTTGGCTGTCTCTAGCTTTATTCCAACCAACTCTTTTGCTCGTCAAGGCAGTCGGTGGTTAGGCATTCGTATCACATGTCCCAACCACCTCAACCGATCAAGTTTCAATACTTCATCTATTGATTTGCCATCCTTTCCTAGTACTCGTTTCCTAACGACAGTATTGCTTACTCGGTTGTCCCATGATACACGAGCAATGCATCTAAGACATCTATGATCGAATACTAGTAACCTACGAATATCTTCTACTCTTATCGGCCATGTTTCGCATCCATACAGGAGAACGGAGCGAACTGCAGCACAGTACACTCAACCTTTGGTAAGCGAATGCGTATCTCGACTGCGTTGTCTTCGTTAATTAAACACAGAACTTTTCCATATGATCTTGACATGTTCAAGTAAATGATTTCATAAAGATTTCATGTCATTTACAACAAGTCAACTTGTTGACGAGATCCAAGAAAGATAGTTTTATACTAAAAACAATTTGTACAATTATAGGATGTTCCCATTTTTTCTAATCGATTCAAACATTGCAGTTTAGCAACATTACAATCACGAGATCAGTGTATCATGCACACACAAAAAAATTTCTTGTATACATATGGTTTTTTTTCATTGTCAGTGCATTATTTTCGGAAAAAACGAACAAACTAAACTGATTATCATTTATTTACAAAGGAATCTCTTATCAATAATAATTCTTTTAAAATAACTCCTTATGTCCAGCTGTAGTGCAGGGAAAACACAGGTGAGGCCAACCGAATTGAAATTTATCGCAAGTTATAGAGTTCAGTGAGTCAGTCAAATGCAACGTAGAACTTCGTACGTAAGTACATCAGTTCATGTTGCCATACCACATCAACACAGAGATGTAATTGTCAATTCAAATCCAATAGTAGAAGAGGTAGTAAAGGTATTAGAAGTAATCCGAGAGGTTAGGATGAGAAGATATTCAAGAAGTATGATTCAGTGAGAAAAGTTTAGAAAGTCAAAACTAGAGTTGTTGAAGAAACCAGAAGATTAGGATTTGAGAGAACACAAAGAATAAATGCACCGGCGCCATTGCAAACGATTTGAGCCATGTCATTCAAGGCCTCTAACCATCGATTATTATCATCTCGCGGACCCCAACCAGGTAGTCGACAATTACCGACATGGCTAAGTCCACTCGTCAATGACTTCATGTATTTGTGCCATGTTTTGGTTTGGTCGCCACTAACTTTCTTCCAACGTATTCCTACACTACAAAACAAAGCTCGACGAGGCAGTCAGTGGTTGGGCATAGGCAACACATGTCCCAACCACCTCAACTGATGAAGTGTCACTACTGCGTCTATTGATCTGCCATTCTTACCTAGCACCCGATTCCTAATAACAGCGTTGCTCACTCGGGTGTCCCACAATATACGAGCAATGCTTCGAAGACATCTATAATCGAAAACAAGTAACCGACGAATATCTTCTACTCCCACTGGCCATGTTTCACAGCCATAAAGTAAGACGGAGCGAACCACTGCACAGTACACTCGTCCTTTAGTCAGCAAATGGATATCTCGCCTACGCCATAAGTGACGCAGGTTGGCAAAAGCCAATCGAGCCTTCTGTATCCGTGCTGAGACTTCGTCAGTCACCAGGCCATCGGCACTGATCAGACTCCCAAGATAAGTGAAGCGGTCTACACGTTCGACTACTTCACTCCCTATCACTAGTTCAGGTGCCGATGAAACCCAATCTTGAAGCAACATTTTGCATTTCGAGGGGGAAAACCGCATCCCGAACATGCTTGCATTGTTGCTTAGGGTAGTCAGAAGACTCTGCATTTATAGAAATAATTGGTAAAATAAAAAAACCATGTCGTGAATCGTTAATTTGCAAAATATCAATCCATCGAACTGGACTGTTCCTGTTGCAAACACAACATCAATCCATTGTCTGACATTTCACTGTTCATGCTATTTCATACAAATCCCCAATGTGTTCCCGCTCTTACTTTTCTTGATCTTCCCCCCCCCCTATCTTCTGCTGTCAGACATTACATTTTTTTACTCGCGTCATATACTACTACTTATAAGTAGCGCGCACCACACTCGTCCCCCCTTTTAATAAGCTGTCGTCGTAGTCTTTCTGATCGCCGTTGCGCTGTCTTCTTTGGCGCTTTCCGTGACTCACACACTTGATAATCTTGAAACCACCTCTGAAGTTGACTGGCATTTACACGCTTCTGCTTGTCTTCTCTCCGGATCGTGTACACCGCGCCGCGTCTGTGATAACGTACGGTCCTTCCACTGCAAAAGGTTTCCACGTTCTCCTCTGTTGTTCCACCTTCTTTATGTCTGATATTTGCTTCTTTCCCCCGTTCTTGATTGCCTCCCTCCTCTCTTTTCTTAACCTTGTTGTTGTCCATTTCTGTTGTTGTGGCCAGGCCTTATTGTGCAATGGAAGTCGCGTTTGTCTGACATACACGAGCGAGAACGGTGATTTCCTGGCTGTACCTTGTATGGAGGAACGATGCGCCAGTAAAATCAATTGTAACTCTTTCTCCCAATCTCCTCCTTTAGATGCGAACCATTACTTTAACGTCCGGTTGTTTCTCTCTGTAAGCCCGTTTGTCTGAGGATGAAACTTCATGTTACAACAACAACAACAACACAAACCATATTGGACAAAAAAAACACATCAGTGTTATTAATAACACATCACCTCCCCCCCATTGAAAAAGAGAATGGACTTACTTTGGTTTTCCCAGAAATTCATGTAATAATTCTTGTGAGCCTAATTTATGCATTTCTGGAAATAAGTTATCCAATTCATCAGGTATGGGGAAGCCAGCGCACTAGAAAATAGAAAAAAATAAAAAACGGGAGGTTTTTTTTAATTTATTTTAAATTAATAAGACCAAGTAAATAAATAAAGTCAGTCAATCAGTCAGTCGGTCAGATTAATGGTTTTACTAGGATCCTTCCTGTATGCGCGTTTCCGAGACGCAGCATACATTGATGGCACGAGATTCTAAAGTTCTTTCTGGCTAAGGAAGCCTGTTGTTGCCCTATTTGACACAATGTCTGGACATTAAATGTTCCAACATGTAGTCTAGAACAAGGGGTTTCGAGAGACCAGGAATAATGTTTCGTGAACTCACTTCGTCTGCATTAGCGGTGCAGTGAGAAAAGGGACTGTGAGTAGATTTAGTTGTGGAGAGAAGAGAGGTATGTGTTGGTGTAGGAAGGATTTGATTTCGACCACTTTGGTCTCTCGTGCTGTTACGGGTATGAGCGCGGTTGTCACTTCCCGGCTGCGCACAACGTGGAAGATTGTTTCTTGAGGAACCTGAAAAAGAAGATAGATTAGTGTTGGTCTTAGAGACCTGAGAGCGTGACAGCAGAGTCCAAGAGACAACTGCTTGAGGCCGGTCACGCACGGCCTTTTTATGAGAGGTTTTTTGAGGATTAGCTCCGCTCTTAAAGGCCCTTAATAGGCACCCTTACCGACGAAGACGGAAATCCGTGAGGTAGGGTGAGGTGTGACATTTTTAGGGTTGACCTTTTCTAACCCTTCCTTCCTTGTGGGGAGGCAACATCGCTGCAGATGCTGGTTGTCTGAGGAAAACATCTTACTGCTATCACACCCCTCCATCACAGTCAGCAGTAAGACTTCGCCCTCAGACCTTGAGTAGCTGCTTTTAGTCTAATCGTTCTCCAATCGACCTGCATGGCATGGTAGAACCTTCAGGAACATATATTTCAACCAATATAGCTCGGCTGGTTCATCACGATAGGCAAGTCCGACCACCACGTCAAGGTAGCAGCTACGGTCGGGAGGTAAATATATATATTATTGACACATATAGTTGATTGATACAAATTAAAGCTTTACAATATGAGGTTGTGAATTAGTGATCTACATTAGTTTGTATTATAATAGGGTAGGTGGATGGCCGTTTTGTCCTGGTATGCGAACTGGAATGTGAAAACTTGAAGGTATAGGAACAAACGGAGGCCATTTGTATGACTTGTTGTTATACGCGGCATCTTAGAAATTAGAGCTTATTTTTGGTAAGTATTGAGTTTTCTGAATGGTCATAGGCGATTAATCAAATCTTAGAAAAATATTATTTAAAGATCATGTTATTTAGTGATCACAACATATACTAAAGAGGTGAAAGTAGAAGGTGATTGCTCTAGGTATCTGAGAGGTTTATTGGAATTTTGAAGAGTCTGTTGAATGAATTCCCGACCTTATGTATTTAAATGACATCGACTGATATAGTGAATGAGTTAATATATTTGATACTTCGATTACAATTATTCATTCAGTAGGAGATCAGTGTTAAAAGACTATATGATATATTTTATGCCTTAAAAATCCTCAAGTAGTTTACGAAAACTAACATCAATCAACATCTACATTCACTAATTGCAGTGGCCAAATCACAAACAGTGGGTATTTTATTTGCTTGAATGCTGGTAGAGGCATATTAGATAAGATCGGTGGTTTGTACCGATTAAAACCAAAGAGTCTACGTTTAGAGACGATATAACGTCAGGATGTGATAGGTTAGATGTAAAAGATATCGTTGAAAGTGGTTTCAATTTATGCTGATGAATGTAAGCTCACTGAGTTCAATTATTGTTGTCTAATTGGAATCACTAACAATAAAAGTGTAAACATTATGCAAGTAATGCAGAGGTCTGTAAATAGTGTATTCAGAAATACTACATTTGATAGTTTTCTAAGATTTACTAATCCAACACTGATTTTCTTGGCTTGCTTATGTTTTGTTACATAGGTTATATAAACAGCTTATATACTAACTACTTGAACGTTTAAACATGGAGACATTATTTGTTCACCTTATAGTGTATGATACCAATAGAAAGTATCAGATATAGTGTGGTGTATAGTACTTATACGAACGATATAAGTAGTATAAGAAGGGACGTGAAAGAAGAAGTCTCACGATCAGAAGTGGAAAACGGAAGGCAAATGGAGCAAAAGCAAGAAGTAAATGGAGCACCAACAGGAAGGAAGGAAAGGAAGCAACAACAGGAATGGAAGAAGGATGGAGCTTTGGAAGTCACGACTCAAAGATGGTGTGCGAATAGAGTGTTTAATGTAATGTTTTCGTTTTTAATTGACTAAGAGTGTTAAATTTGCATAATACAACAACAATATTAGCATCCATTATTCTGTCATAAGATGCTAAACAGATTTCGATAAACAGAGTAATTCAGTGAACACATCACTGATGGTGTCAGAGTAAAAACAATTAGTCTATCTCGCTGGAGAATGACATCATTTCTAAATGAAATAAAATAAATCGAGGTTTTAATTTTTTACGCAGACTTATTTCTAAAGGTTTCATTTATCAAAGGGTTTTTCTGCTTAACCACATTAATAATAGTAATAATAATAATATCCAAATAAAATCAGTACAATCAGTAAAAATAGCATAAAGAAAGAATTTTCGTGTTACGCTCGTCTTTAGGTATGCTTAAAACTATTACGAGTTCACCTTAGTCGAATAACCAGGACAAACCAACGAACCAGCATCCAGGCAGACTACTGTGATCCTATTGTCCCAAGTGTACCAGCAAGAAGTCTTGATATAGTGTAGAAAGTGTATTCTACAAACACCCAGCCAGCACACAATCAATCCAAGCATTCAAATCGCGTTTATTTATACCCCCATAGAGACGTTCTTGGGATAGTCACAAAAATAGCACACTAAAATAACACAGTAACCAATCACAGCCAAGGGTTTTCCTGGTGGGAAATGTGATCTCAAGGTCAACTGATCGACCCATGAATTAAATTGAAAATAATGATATTTATCAAGCGAGTTCTGGGGACCAAACATCCCCAACATTTCCGAAGAACACAAAATACAATGAAAGTATATTGACTACACTACTTACTGACCTTACGAGCTAAATAATCATCTCGAACAAAATAAATTGGGCAATCATAATCTGTAGATCGATGTTCAACACAATCCAATAATCGTTCAAGACCTGTCAACAAAGAGAAAAAACAATTGAAGAAGAATCGTTATCATCATCACAGGATGTGAATGAATGAATGAATGAATGTTTTAAATGATGATTTGAAATACTTCACCATTGAACAAAGTTTTCTTTAATAAACAAAAAGTAAACGAACAGCTGAACTGCTGCTGGTGTGGCACACACCCTCAACTGTTATTCAGAGTGATAAAATAAAAATCATTCTTACAACAACAAGTAAATCAGTAAAGGAAGTATCGATTAGGTTATCTAAAATTGGAATTATACACAATATGTATGAATATTAAACTTAACTTAACTTAACTGACAACAATGTAATTGTGATTGAGTAAAGAAAGATTTAAAAATGTGACATCAGAAAGTACAAAAGTGCAAATACTTGTGATTAGAAAACAGTTGAATTCTTGTGTAATAGAGAGAGAGTAGTAAGTAAGTAACATTATCAATGAAATAGATGATTCTATCAATTAATAAAACACTAACTACCTCAAGCGATCAAGTATTTGAATCCAAATAACACTTTCAAGTATGAAATTGTAAGCGAAAATTCTCAATAAAGGCAATATATAGATAGTTGTTCTAAGTAAAAATAATATCAATTCATTCAGCAGTGCATGGAAATGTATATTTCAAGCTGGTCACAACCAAAAACCGTGCATCGATTGATTTTAATATTTAAAATTAAAAAAAACTAGAGTTTTTACTATTTTCAGCAAAACTAACTGATTACAGTTCACAAGGTTATTCAAACAGTTGGAAAAAGAGACTTTCCATGGAAGTTTAAATTGTGTAAAAGATTAGTGCCACAATTCATTTACTTGTGAATTGACATATTTTCAAAAATTATCATTAACTGAACAAGAGTTGGCTATCAAAAAACTTGAACTACATTAGGGCAGAGAAATATCTAGGGATGGCAGATCAATTGATGGAGTATTGAAACTTCATCAGCTGCGGTAGTTGGGACACGTGTTACGAATGCCTAACCACCGACTGCCTCAACAAGCAATGTTTTGTGGTGTAGGAGTAGGTTGGAAGGAAACTAGGGGCGGCCAAACCAAAACATACCACAAATCCATGAAGTCACTGACCAGTGGACTGAGTCATGTTGGTAGATGTAGACTACCTGGTTGAGGTCTGTGAGACGAAAGTCACCGATGGTTAGAGACCTTGAACGACATGGCTTACAATCGTTTACAATAGCGTAGATGCATTCATTGATTGTGTTCTCTCGGATTCTAATATTCTGAATTCCTCATCACTTCTATCTTTATCTTTCTAAATTTATCTCACTGAATCATACTTATTGAATCATATCTTCGAACCCTAATCTTCTCCGATTACTGTTAATACTTTTAATACCTCTACTACTATGGGATTTGAAGGGACGATTGCGTCTCTGCGCTAATGAGATACGGCAACCTGAACTGATGTACGTAAGTACGAAGTTCCACATTATAACTGACTGACTACCTTTTTTGTAGACGGGGGAAATGTGCTTTTTCAAAATTTCTTTTTTAGTTGCCGCAGCTTGTTTGAATGCTGTCATAGTTTATACACAAGAATTATTATTTTACGTTTGCAGAGTTGTACTTACATAATCGATTATAGAGAGTTTTAAACTTTTTAAAATATTTTATCTTCATGAACTTATCGATCGATCTGACCTTCTTAACTATGGACACACCTATGCCATGAGCAATTCGATTATAAATTTCTTCATAATTGAAGACAATTTATATAACAGATAAACACATCAACTAGAGTCAGTCAGCTACAACGTAATGGAAAATATTATGGATCGAAAATATCATTTGAGAAAATATAAGCTAGTGAAATAAATTTAATGAGAGAAGACAACATATGGATTTGTTTACGTCCTTACAGAAGATTTGTAGCTATTTCGTTCACTCCCTAACCATCGGTTATTATCATTTCGTGGACCCCGATCTGGTAGTCGACAATTATTAACATGGCTCAGTCCACTTGTCACTGACTTCATGGATTTGTGCCATGTTTTGATTTGGCCACACTTAGCTTCCTTCAAGCCCTCATCTATATCACAAGACATCGAACGTCGAGGCACTCGGTAGTTAGGCATACGGAACACATGTCCCAACCACCACGACTGCTGAAGTTTCAATACTTCATCAAGTGGTTTGCCATACATACTTAGTACCCTTTTCTAACACCAGCATTGCTTACTCGGTGATTTCAGGATATTAGAGCAATGCTTCGAAGGCGCATATTACTGAAAACTAGTAACCTACAAATATCCACTACTCTCAGTGGCCATGTTTCACACCGATATAGTAGGACGGGGCAAACTGATGAGCAGTAGACTCATCCTTTGGTTATCAGATGAATATCTCGTCTACGCCGTCAATAACGCAAGTTGGCAAAGCCAATCGAGCCTTCTTTATCTGTATTGAGATTTCGTCAGTCACCAGGCCATCAACTCTGAGAGAGAGACTCCTAAGATAAGTGAAGCGGTCAACATATTCAACTACTTTACTGCCTATTACTAGTTCAGATGCCGTCACATTCCAATCCCGAAGCAATGATTTGGCATTTCCCAAGCGGGGAGAATCCCATCCCCAAGCAAGCTTGCCTTGTTGCTTAAGGTGACGTATATCACAAATATATAATTACTATCATTGAAAATTGATTAACACGTCTGTATGGATTAAAAACATGATAGTTTATTCAAATTGAGAAGATTTATACAAGCCAACAGGATAGAATAGGAATTGATATTCTATTCTCAACAATGGTTGCTCTTGTTTTGAATAATTAATACACAAAAATGAGCCAATTAATTTTCATTCGGATAAATCAAAATACAAAAAAATTAGTTGATTAAATGATTATTTTAACACTCAACTGGAACAACAAACACAAACAAACGAACGAACAAATCAATTTTCTTATTGATGATTGTCAATCAAAAACACAAATATGTACAATTAGGGTTGAGTGTGTGATTGGTTTCTTTCTTTTCGTTTAAAATGTGTTATCTCATCTTTGTGATTGATTGTCAATGATATATACGTATTTATCCACTATGAATGATGACTCATATATATATATATTGCTGGCGGTCTGTTTTTAGTGTTAATGATTATTTTCAATTAGAGTTGAGGAGATTAGTGTTTTTACTTATACATTTGAAATTATCAATCAATTATTGTTACACCGCTATTACAAACCTGGAAGCACTGGACAGGCGTTTTGTCCTGATATAGGACTCATCATTGACAGTGTGCATATACGACTCCTGCACCTCGCAGGATTCGAACCCAGAACCTTCGATCTTGTGCGCGAAAGCGCACCGCTGACGAGTCCCATACCAGGACGAAACGGCTGTCCAATATTTCTAGGTTTCTAATGGTGGTCTAACAATGATTGATTGATGATTTCAAATGTGTTAATTATTATTATTATGATTATTATTATTTTTACAATGTTTCCCTTTCGTTACTCATGCCAGTTAATTTGCAAAGTATTTTAATTAGGAAAAAACGAAGTGATAATTGATAATTTAATATTTTCTTTTGTCGAATTTAAAGTTTTTTTAATGGATTCAGAAATAGATTTCTTTTTGTTGATAAAATTGTCTGTATATTGATTAAAATATATGACATACTGAATAGATGATGATTCATGATAAATTACTTTGCTTCTGGATACCATCGACAGTTTGTAGTAGTAGTAGAGGGGAATAAATCTTTGAAAATATCTTTTATTTTCTGTTGTGGATTGCACGTAAACACATTATTTGATATGCTTGAACTATTACTAGTTTACCTTAGTCGGAAAACGAGAGCGAGGATCTGATGACACGACATGCTACTACTCTAATCCGATTGTCCCAACCCCGCCCCCATTGAGTAAAAGAAGAAGACTTATAAATAATTCTCTTAGGATATTAGATGAATATCCTAACATTTTCACAACAACTGAAGGTTGTAGTGAGTCGAGATTTTCTGCGGTTCTAATATACTAAATCCAGTTGAAAAGTATTCATGTAGTATGTAACCGGTTTGGTTGATATTAATAATTGAGTATCAATTAGCCTGACTAGTAGGGTAGCGGCCACTTGATTGTGATGGTTCGGTGCGAATATTACAATGATCCAATAGAGCGGTAAGTCGGTTGGAACACCTCTGTTAAGTCATTCGAAGCAGATTGTTCGGCGAATGATAAGATTAAGAGTAGAAACTTAAGATCCGATGGAGAAGTTATAGAGAGGACTATATATGAATGTGACAGTAACAAGTCATTTTCTTAGCTTTGTTATAAAGGAAAAAGCTGTAAAAAAAATTGGCCCGTAAAACCATATACCACAGCTTACCACATGGATCTCCATTTCCTGAGGTAACATTTTAAAAGTACTGAGTTGACTTATGTTAAGACTTACTACAAAAAGTCATGTGTATCTCAACTCAACGAACAGGTAATCGTGACCATGTGTTGCATTGTCTTCCAAACGACATGTTACTCTTAGAACTTACAAAACGTAGCCATAAAGAAAGATACTAGACACAAATTCTCTTGTTATAAGCCACCATTTGAGAGGATCAATAGAAAACTGCCACTCCTACTGAAGCACCATATACTTGAACTTTAAAGGCATGAAATTCTATGCACTTTACTAAAAGTGAAAAGATCGCGATTCATTCGAACATGAAAAGATCCAGAGTGCATTCAGGAAAGAGTTAACCAAGAAACTAGTTGATCATAGATAAATATCTCTCATTAAAGAAGTTTGAAACAATATCCTAACATTTATACAGTAACATTGATCAATAACATCTAAGTGAAAATATTAAGAAAGGCCAGTAGACTTTAGTGATGTGTCTATTGAATTTATATTTATGTTCTAAAACTTATTTTATCAAGCTTAAAGAAAGACAAAGATCCACGACAACTTATTTACATGTACACAAAATAGAAACTTTGGGCAATCAATGACGGCAATATAGTAAACAAACAATGATATGACGTTCCGTAAACTCGCATCGTTTGCATTAGCGGTGCAGTGTGATAAAGGAATGTGAGAAGAGTTAGTCGTGGAGATAAGAGAGGTACTAGAGGGCGAAGGAAGGATTTGATTTTGACCAATTCGGTCTCGTGTGCTGTTACGGGTATGAGGGCGGTTGTCACTTCCCGGCTACCCACACCGTGGAAAGTTGTTTCTTGAGGAACCTGAAAGGAAGATAGACTAGCGTTGGTCTTGGAGACCTGGGAGCGTAACCGCAGTGCCCAACGGACAACTGCTTGAGGCCGGTCACACACGGCCTTTTCATGAAAGGTTATTTGAGTATTAGCTCTGCTCTTAAAGGCCTTTAGTGGGCACCCTTACCCAAGGAGACGGAAATCCGTGAGGTAGAGTGAGGTGTGACATTTTTAGGGTCGACCTTTTCTAACCCTTCCTTCCTTGTGGAAAGGCAGCATCGCTGCAGATGCTCGTTGTCCGAGGAAAACATCTTACTGCTGTCACACCCCTCCATCACAGTCAGCAGTAAGACTTCGCCCTCAGACCTTGAGTAGCTGCTTTTAGTCTTATTGTTCTCCAATCGACCTGCCTGGCATGGTAGAACCTTTAGGGACATATGTTCCAGCCAATATAGCTCGGTTGGGTCATCACGATAGGCAAGCCCGACCACCACGTCAAGGTAGCAGCTTCGATCGGGAATGATATGACGGATATATGTTCAATTGAAAATTGAATTTTCAAACTACACGGGATAATTTTTTTTCATAATATCAAAAAAGTATGAAGTTTGATATCATTTTACACATGACTATTGTAAATTATGAACATAAACAAATTCAGTATCAAGGTTTAAATAGTGTTATACATTAGAGTAGAAAGATACTCCTCTTTACATAACAGATTAATTTGAACCAGAAAAACTAAATACATACTACTAGCCAGCTATTTCAGCTTATTTAATAAAACATTTCAAAATGAACATATCGTTGCAATCCGGTCAAGAAGAGTCTAGAACAATTAAGGCTTTAAGAGATGAAAACATTTTTACTACTGGATCAGTCAGTTAGTCATTTACAACGTAGAACGTCGTACTTACGTACATCAGTTCAGGTTAATACTGAATCATTGATAATTTGAATAACAAACTTAGGAAATCTCCCCTTCTTTTTACTATAAACAGTTCCTTGGTCAAATCTTACAATATTTCTTTAATTTAAAGTAATTAACGAGAAAATCCTTTAATTAAATTACTTGATCATCAAATCAATAAGAAATAAGACATAAACATGTAGGTTGATCACTAAAAAAAAAGAGGAAGGAAATAACGAATATGCAGACAGTCAGTAACAACACAGAACTTTGTACGTACGTACATCAGTTCAGGTTGCCATACCGCATTAGCAGAGAGACGCGATTGTCAGTTCAAATCCCATAGTAGTAGAGGTATTAAAAGTATCAGCAGTAATGGAGAAGAATAGGGATCGAAGATATGATTCAAGAAGTATAATTCAGTGAAATAAATTTAGAAGGAGAAAGATAGAGATTATGAGGAATTCAGAAGATTAGAATTTGAGAGGACACAATGAATGAATACACCTGCACTAACGCAAACGATTGTGAGCCATGCTATTCAAGGTCTCTAATCAT